GATCATATCCTCGTTCATGGGATACAGTACAAAGTGTTTCTGGGTACAAACTCATTAGAGCTACAGTCTCCCAGAGTGGTTTCCCTATTAACTCTTCCGCTGAGCATCCCTGTGTGTAACTGGACATTCTTTTTTGTTCCCAAAAGGTATGTACAAATGCACTCTGGATTAAGACATACAATCAAGGAGGATTTTATCCTGTAGAATATGTTCTCTGTGAAAAGGAGTAAATCCATACTGCAGGTGTGTTACATGGGTTGAGTTGCTGCCTGCAGACAATACAGTTGCAGCCCAGGAGGAAGGTTGGACCTGGAGAAGGATGGAAGGGAGCTTGAAAGAGGCTCTTTTCTAAAATAGTTGTGCTTGTGTCTCATCATAATAGCACCTACCAGCATTACGAAGGGCCTGTTATCCAGGCCTACCCCTCACAAATATCCAGTGAGAGGTGGGCATGATTCTGCTTCTTCCAAGGTAGGCCAGCCAACTAAGGGAAGCACTGACTCCACGTTACAGCAAGGAAACCAGTGATGGGCCCTGAGTCGCCTTGAGAGCCTCTGAGAAGGTACTGAACGTCAGATCATCAAATCTTGGCTAAGTGCATTTGTCACAAGACCCTTCCCTTAAGAAAGCATGTTCTCCTCTGACAACAATGTCTCTTATCCTGGAGTGGCCTGAAATTATTTTGGAAGGAGATCGATCAGTTAGAGATGTATTACTAATGGATGGATACCTTCAGCTTACTTGTGCTCGTGTTTGCTGCTATTTACAAGTTTGGCAAGGCAGAGAAGCGCCTTGAAAGCCTCCTTTCGATGGCAGATGGTTGGCAAATGGTCCACGCTTCACATCCCCTCCCAGGGCAAAAGGCTGTGTCTGTTTGGAGCGGGAAGCACCTTCAGGAATGCAAAAGAGCATAAATGCCCCATAGGAAAACAGTGCCGATGTGTGAGTTCACCGAGGAGTTGGATGTCCTCGGTCCTTATGCACCTTCTGGAGCTCCTAGTGCCTTAAGTGAGCAGTAGGGCTCAGGCAGTCAGCTGAATTGCTTCTTCCTAGGAATCGGATATGAAGAATTCGAAACCCATACCTGATCTCTAGAATTCACGTGGCTGAAGTGAAATTGCATGCAAATGTCAGTTGGTTCGGTTGTGTTGTGTTGGTGGATAGTGAGTTTCCTCCGAAAGCCCAAGCTCTCGTTTATTTGAAAGCCAACCGTTCAGTGAAGTTTCTAAACCCTGTGGGACACACTTTTTTTCCATAGAGAGTCTTTGGGGTTTTTTTGTGTTGCCTTTTGCAGCTTGTCAGAGGGGTCGTACATGCATGATGAGAAGTTCTAGGCTTTCTCTGTCTGACAGAGGCAGGAAAAGCACATGAGCAAAAAGGACTTTCGGGGATGCAACTGGCAAAGGTATTTCTGACATTTAAAGTGGTTCTCTTGGCTTCAGTTACAAAAAAGGGTCTGTCTGGGTATTTTGTGCATTCTCTTCTTGTTGACTGTGCTCTGTTGTGAAGAGCAGACTGCATCTATGCTGGTGGTCGCTGCAGTATGGACACAGATTTCACAAGCTGGAATATTTTGGATCAGGAAGCCCTCCTGGGTATCTAGCTAAGGAGTTGTGCTGATACTGTAAAGAAGCTTAGCTTGGAATGGAGGCAACTCTCACTTGTCTGACTGCTGACTCTGAAGCTGCCAAAAAAGCTGCCATCTGCTATTAAACAGTGCTGCATTCCCTGTGTGAGAGCTCTCCGTGTGTTAGTCAGAAGTAGCCGTGCCCTCCAGCACAGGGCAGCTGAGTACTCTGGGCATCTCCTTTGTGCTTTATTTCACCAGCCAGCATGTCGAGGGCATGGTTTAATGGGTGCTGCTACTGTGCAGTCCAGTTCTGCTGCCCAGTTTGGAGCTGCAGAGGTGACGCAAGCTTTCAGAGAAGAAAATGGGAAGGAAGTGGGGATCGATCAATGCCCTTTGTGTTTAGCATGACCTTGAGGGCTGGTGGGATAAATGACCCTGATTATCTCTCTGCTTTTCATCCCTGAAGTGCTCAGAGGCCTTGGGGGTGGGGGTTGGATCTGTGAACTGAGCCTTTGTAGGTCTGTGACAGGGTTGGGATGTGGGGATGGAGCTGTGGAGAGAAGGGAGCTTTTGAGCCTCAGGCCAAGTGGCAAAAAAAAACGGTTTGGTCTGCTGCCTTCTGTGCTGCACAAAGGCTCTTCACGTCCAGCTGCTGGTGTGAATGGCAGAAGCGTTTCAAGTGCCAACTCCTCTCGGAGCTGGCTGGGATCTGAATTTCACAGCTAGTTTTCATTTCCATCTAGTGCGTTCTGCTCATACCCTCGATGCAAATATTGCCAAACTTTGAAATCTCTGCCCGGGAGGACAGCTGGAGTTGGCGTGGGAGGCCAGGTCAGAACTGCACTTACCAGATGTACCAGGAAGAGTTAACCGTGTCTCCCTACCCAGGAGTGCCACTCATCGGTTCCCTGTGTTACAGATGGTTGGGTTCTGTCTCCGAGCCGTTGTTGTCAAGGTGTAGCATGACTGTTCAGGATCCAGATGCGGATTTTCACACCTCAGACGTGTTTGTCAGTCTTCTGCTGGTTTTGTTGTGCTGTTAACGTGGGATGATGGTAACACTGTGGATACTGTCTCTGTTCACGCTCATTTGGTTGTTGCCACTGAATTGGCGCTGACTGGAAGTCGCCTCCATGCCAGACAAAGCATCCAAGAAGGGCTGTGTGAGCACAAACTGGAATTGCTGATTCTACGTTGACTCAAGTCCTCTTTAGCAACTGGGCTGGAGTAAATGGGAATATGGCCATCTGTCAGGGCAGTGTTTTAGGGAGAACTGCATGACACGTGGTGATTGTGGCTTGAATGTGGCTAAGGGTGTTGTTTAATCATAAGTCATGCCTCTAACGAAGGCAGGCCTGGAGGAGGGGCACGCGGTGGCTGTGCTAGCACGCTGCTGTTAATGTTTCTGTGGGCCCTTCGAGGCTTTGCTCACAGAGATCTCCTTGCCAAGTTCCAGCTTGGCCTCGTCTTGCTGCTGAGCTGCTGCTGCTGTGTGCTCTAACACATCTCATGGGACAGTCAGCATTTAATCTGCCCGCGCACGTCACAAGCCCCTCACGTGCCAAAAGTTGTGGCTGTTCAAAGCCCCAAGATCTGTGGAAATGGCAAAACCCGTGGCAGAAGTTCGATTAAAGGCAGCCACGCCTCTGGGCAGCACGAGTGCATCCCAGGGGTGGCAGTGACCATCCCGTCGCTGTGAGAGGCTGCTGTACTTCTCCCAGTGCTCTGTGTGCCCTTCACCAGTCATCCCCCAGTCCTGCAGGTGCACAGCTCCGGGTTCGTGGGATTCGATGTCCTCTCCTGTCAGGCCTTTTGGGAGAGGGAGCTGTTGTAAAGTCAACAGAGTCCTCCCAGGGGGACTTGCATTCGACCTTGCGGTGCATAGTTCGATGTAGTATTCGAGAGGAGGTGCCAGGGAGGAGGTCGTTTCTCCCCTTACCTGAGGAGCCAGGTGTCCATCTTGCACGTGCGAGGCAGGATGAAAAAGCAGCTGGATCCCTGCTGCCGGAGGAGAACTCGGCCACCTTGGTGCCGCTCCAAGCGCTTGTCTGGGCTAGAGGAACGTGCACAGAGGTATCCAAATAAAACGGCGCCGCTGTAAACCCTGTGCAGGCTTAGCCTGATACCAGGAACCTTCACGAGTGACAAGTGGGGTGAAGCGAGGCTGGCACGCCTCCCGGTGTCCACATCCAGCTGACAGCCGGGCTGTGCTCCTGCAGCTGCGCCGGAATCCCCCAAGGCAGACGGAGCCTTTTGGCACCGTTTGCGTTTGAGGGCCAGATCTTAACCTCTCTCTGAAATCCAGAGGTGGGGTCCACGCTCTGAGGTAGACAGTGCCTACAGCCCAGGGAAAATGGTGATTTTGTGGAGCTGGGACTAGGCATCCAGTGCCATCCAGACACCTGGTCTTTCACTGCATTGCTACAGGGGGCTGTACCCTGCTGCAGAAAGAGAGCAGAAAGGGGGGCAGCACCACTCCTGAGAGCCCCGGAACCCCCGCCACCGTCCAGCTCTTCCTTCCACTTAACCTCATGCACAAACCACTGTAGCTTTTCTAATTCCCCACTTTGTGGAATGGCTTTTCTATCTGACCCCGTACGCTGCTTGTACCACCTTGAGTCCCCTGCATCTCGCTGTCACGGTTGCTTTGGCAACAAATTGAGAGAGGCTGGGAGCAGCTCAGCACGGTAAGGAACGAGAAATTTGCCCGGATTTATGAATCCCTCTCTGACCCAGCTTGTCCATCAAGCAACGGGTTTCCAGCCGTGTCTCCCTGGCTCAGGGGGAGCTGCTGCTAAGTGCATTTGAAATGCACTTAACCTGCCTCTCGGAGGTTAGTGTGGCCTTCTGAGGAAGGAGGCTGGTTGCCAGGTTGAGGGGGCTCTTGGAACAGGCTGATAAAGGCAGCCAGCCATATTTGCTTGAGCCCAGAGGGCACCACTGGAGAGGGGAAAGCATTAACCTTTTCACTACAGTTTACAGGGTTTGCAAATATCAGGCAATATATTGCTTTGGGTGGGGTTTTTTCCTGTTTTTGAAGCTGATTAGATGATAGTGCGTACCCCTATACATAGAAAGCTGTTCACTGTAAATCAGAGTGAGGTCAGAGCCTCATCCAGCTGAGAGAGTAAGTAGTGTAGGGAGCAGAAGGGATGGCAGAGGAGGAATTACTCATCCCCTCTGTATGAGGTTGTCTGGGAAGCAGAGCGGGCTGGGAGCTGGTGTGGTACAGAGTCAGTTCTTGGCTGAGCAGCCTTGGCCAAGGAGCATCCATCCCTTCCCCTCCTGTAGAAGCGTGGCCGGCATGAGCAGCACCTGAGTGAACGGGGAGCACAAGGTGCAGCTTAGGGTGGTGTTCAGGAGGCAGCTGGACTCCGAAGGCCGGTGCTGGGTTTCCTTTCTCACAGTCTTCTTTGCCTTCCTTCCCCAGAAGAAACGATGAGGTGACGCACATTAAGATCCAGAACACAGGGGATTACTATGACCTGTACGGAGGTGAGAAGTTTGCCACCCTTGCAGAGCTGGTGCAGTACTACACCGAGCAGCAGGGGCTGCTGCGGGAGAAGAACAGCAATGTCATCGAGCTGAAGTACCCTCTCAACTGCCAGGACCCGACCTCGGAGAGGTAAGTCACGCTCTCCAACAGCCTCTCCCGGTGGTGGTGATGCTGTCTTCTGGATGGCTCAGACTGGACAGCTGCACCTGGCCTGGGTTTGGAAAGGAGCCCGAAACAGAGCGTGTTTGGGTATGATTTAGCTTTCGCGACCCAAAAGCTGCACGTTTCTGGGATATATGAAGGGACTTTTAAAGGTCATCTAGTCCAACACCCCCCTGCAGTGAGCAGGGACATCTTCAGCTAGGTGAGGTCGCTCAGAGCCCCGTCCAGACTGAGCAGTATGAGTCTATCTGCAAATGGTCCTGCAAGTATCCTAGGAGTCAGGCAGCTTTGTGTTTTAAAAGAAACAAGACACCTGCAAGTGTCTTGTCTGCAGAACGCTGGGTAGAAATGCCCTGTAAAAAGAATTCCCCCATCCCATCTCAGTCTGTCACCACTGTTCGTCCTAGCAGCAGCGCGCTGTCTTGCAGGGATGGCGATGGCCGACTCGCTGCGAGAAGCGGCTTGCCTCGGGCTGTTTCAAGATGTTTCCACCAGCCAGTTAGTGACCTTCTTTCCTCCTCTTCATCTGTGACACTCCAGTGACCCCTTTTTTCCCTTTTCCTCCCACTCAGTTTCCCCAGTGTCATATGCAGCGGCTGACACGGTGGGTTGGGAAGGGGAATGCCTAGTCAGGCGGCTGGCGATGCCTGGGCAGGCTCCTGGTTACTCTAACTTTAGCAGCCGGGGTGAGGCGAAGCTGTGACTGGTCTCGGTTCCTGAAATGGAGCAGAGGCGCTCCCCTCCACGCTGTCATGTGAGTGCTGGGAAGTCCCTCCAGCTCATGTGCTCCCTTGTTGCCAGGGAGGTTTCTTTGCTCATTCCAGGTTGCAGTGGGAAAAGCAGCCGGGCAGCCGCTCATGTTAGTAGAAGCTCTGGAAAAGTGGAAACCCCCCTTGAGCTGGGTTTCCCCCTCTTCTCCCGCCAAGGAAAGTCTGGCTTGGCAAGGAAGCTCCGTGAAAGTTTTTCTTTCTGCTCCAGACCGCGCATCGGGTGGCATCAGGGAGAAGGGAGGGGAAAAAAGGTCCGAGTCCTCCAAATATACAAAATGACGATGGTGTCGGGATATAGCGGGATGCTTCAGGGTAGCAGCGTTTCCAAGACCTGGGCCTTACAGCAGCAGTGCTGTAAGCAGGCACTGAGGTACCTCGGCAGAGGTGGGCCGTTCTGCCCTCTGCAGCAGCACCTCTTGTGCAGCCCCCTGATCCTAAAGCCTTCTCAAGCCTGCGGGAAGGAGTCTTGCTCCTTAGAGCAAGTGGGGCTTGAGGTGGCTGTCTTTGCAGCGTGCCGAGTGGGGACTCGAGAGGCCCAGCGTCACTGACTGCTGTTCCATAAACTTTGTCCTCTGGGACAAAGTTGCTGAGACATGACGTGATGCCATTGCATCGCCCCTGGGAGGTTATTTTGAGCCTCTCTTAAATTCCTGGCAGCTTGGCTGGTGGGCCAGGAGCCAGCGTCTTCAAAGTGGGACCTGTGGCATCTGCCCAGAGCCACTGCTGAGTGTTGATGGCGTGTGGGAATCGAAGGCTCCGAGGCAAGAAGCAGCTCTGCTTCGTTCCAAAGCGTTATTTGTATTTATGGAAGGCTGTAGCAGAGCGCTAGCCCGGGTAGCTGCCGCGCGGGTGGGTGAGACACGCCGCCTTGCCGTGCGGCAAAGTCCAGGGGAGCTGCCGAGGATGAGCTCAGGAACGGGCAGGTGGTTGTGTGCTTAACCCCAAGGCGTTGTGGCGAGGCTGCTGCAGGCTTCTGACCGAGCCAGTTCAAAGATGGCCTGCGTTTCACTGGGGCTGCGGTGTAAGCGTGTCAGCAGACCGAGAGAAAGGATTATGAGAGATTAGATGGAGAAACAGCGGCACGTGCGTGCGAGATGTACGCAGACGGAGAGGTGGAGCAACTCACGGCCCGGCAGCGAGGCTTGGGAAGAGCTGAGCGCAAAGCTCTGGACGCTGCTGTCATCGCCGCTGGCCAGAGACGCGGCTGCAGGCAGGGCTGGACGGGGAGAAGCCTCCTGGGAGCGGTGGAGAACCCGGTTTTGCCACTCCAGGGCGCTTCTGTTCTCCCGCAGCCAGACCTGAGCTGAGGTTAGTGACCTGGGAGGGGGGCAGCAGTGGCTACAGCTAGGAGGACCCTTCTGAAAGTCGTTCCCAAACTGCGTCAAAGCATCTCGTTCCTGGTCGGTGTTGCGTGTGCTCGTGTCTGGTACTGTCTGACTACAGCCTGCTGACTCCAAGCGTTCTTTTTCTTCCATATTGAAAAAAAAACCAAAGGAAAATGTAGCCGCCTTCAAGTAACAACTGCCAGAATCGCGTTCCTCAGAGCTTCATCGGAGCCCTGCCCCTAGATGACAGTGCTTGTCATACATCACGTGGCCGTTTAATACACTGATGCCATTTCACATTTGGGTGGAGGACTGAGCAAAGTCCTGACACTTCCAGCCTCAGGCGAAGGTATTGATGTGACATGGCGAAGTGTCGGAGGAAAGTCACTGGGGGCTGTTCCTAAAATAGCTCAAGCTTCTGTCATGTCAGTGGGTTCGGGCAGTGGGACTGGGAGCCTAGAAGTGGGTTTCCCCACGAAGACCGTCCCCGGCAGTGAGTGCAGCTCTTGTCTAAAGGCAACGCTCTGTGCGCTGCTGAGCTGACCTTGCTCTCCGTTGCTGCTCCCTAGGTGGTACCATGGGCACCTCACTGGCAAGGAGGCAGAGAAGCTTCTGACGGAGAAGGGGAAACCCGGTAGCTTTCTGGTGCGAGAGAGCCAGAGCAAACCAGGAGACTTTGTATTGTCGGTGCTGACAAATGAGGATAAGATGGAGACTGGGGACCGAAAACCACACGTGACCCACGTGATGATCCACTACCAGGTGGGAAAGGGGCTGTCCCCGCTGCCCCTGCGATGGGTGCTGGGTGGGTGACCCAGCTGGGAGCTGTGCGTTCGAGTCTCGCTGTGGTTTTGCCGTCTCCTCCTGCAGCCGGATGGGAAGTACGACGTGGGGGGAGGAGAGAGGTTCGACACGCTCACAGACCTGGTGGAGCACTATAAGAAAAACCCCATGGTGGAGAAATCTGGAGCTGTGGTTCATCTGAAGCAGGTAATAGCGGCTCGAGCACGTCCTTGTTGGTTCTGGGCTTGCCCAAACTCTTGGGGGAGTGCACAGGTCTGCCCCTGCTCTTTGGGAACTCCCTGCCCCGAGAACATCCCAGTGGCTACTTGTCGTGCTTGTCCAGGCTCCCGCTTGCCAGAGAGGTCCCTGGCCCTGGACTCAAGGTCTCAGGAATGGACTCATCTCCTGCTGATACCCTCAGGGAGTTTGGAACTGCCTTTTTTTTTTTTTTTTTAAAGTTTTCTGTCTTTCTGTTATTAAAAGCAACTTCTATTCTGTCTTCATCTGCCTTTCAGCCGTTCAACGCCACGCGCATCAATGCAGCCAACATTGAGAACAGAGTGAAGGAGCTGAACAAAATGGCAGATCACAGCGAGAAGGCCAAGCAAGGGTTCTGGGAAGAGTTTGAGGTACAGGATGCCCCTGTGCTCTGTCCCACTTTTGCTTGAGGATGAAGAATATCATGTTTGCATGGGAGTGTCATG